CAGCCACATTGACAGCACGTCCTAATGCGCTGGAAACCGGCTGCTACAAATTGTTTGGTTCTTTCGGTAAAGCCACGTAGATATAAAAGAATAATAATAAAGTGAATAAAAATAATATTAAAATAATAGAAAACAAAAAAACACTTATGTAGACTGTAGCCTGGTTCTTAATCGGAGTGAGTGTATTGGAAATCTATAATGTGGACCGTAGCCTGTTTATTAAGTTTGGTGAGTGTACTGGCAGTCTATAATGTAGACTGTAGCAATGGTTATTAAGCTGCAATGGTTATCGGCCGCTGCAAACACAGGAACTGCTGCTGCTGCTGCAAGCTGCACCCGGCTTTAAAACACTCTGGCTACGAACAATGGTGCATCTGTGTTCGTGTGCGTATTTGTATCTATAAATATGTACGTGGTGTGAAAATATTAATAAGAAATTATGTTGATAGCGTGTTGAGCATGCAGGGTTAATGCTGCTCGGCCATAAATACACAAACCTTGGTTTGACTCCCAGTCTAACACATTAGCAGCAATGCATATTAATCACTCACCCTTGTATGGGCTTACCCTAGGTGGACTCAGCCTAAAATTAGCATTGATGCCAGCCCTGGAGATAAATTGGCAACTGGTTATGTTGCTGGCCCCATCGCACCAGCCTATCTCTTTACTGGCATTTGCAAGAATAAAAGAGCTCGCCAAGAGACTGACAAAGCGCGTGTCTTTATAGATGCGCATCAAGGTACATGTGCATGTGTGTGTAATAGTGTGCTCGCTAACATCACTTGCCCCAACAGTCTATTGCAGGCTATACGGTGGATTGTTGTCTTTGTTTTTTGTAATAGTGTGGGGAGCGGCGGCGGAGTGGTTAGCGAACGTGCGCTACGAACCTGGTAACCTGCGTTCGATTCCCAGTCATGGTTAACGTCAGTGGTGATTACCTGATCTGGTCCTGAGCCTGCCCCAAGTTGACTCAAATTAATGCCTGGTACGGTGTGTAAACATCAGCACTGGAGAGACAAAGGTGGCCGGGAACGGTACTGGCCACACCACCTGCTCATGTCCCGTGCTTGCATTTTTGAGTGCTGACAACCAGCACCTGCCACCACGGTGCGTATGTCTATCTGCATGTCTACATGGGGAAATCTTTGTCCGTGTGGCGTGTGACATAAATCAATTGAGCCTGGACTGGGCATCCTGTCGGTTGACCCAGCCTAAGGGTTAGTACCTGGCACTGGACAACACACGTGTGGTGGTCCCACCTCGTTCTGCCAATTCGTCACTGGAGCTCTCACTAACGCCACTTGCTTCAACAGCGTATACGCGCAGGATGAAAGGGAACACTCATTGTCTATGTGTGGCTAATGATATCTGAACTGGTCCTGGCCACCACCAGCTCCCTAACCTTCACCAACCCCCGCATTGACCAGTTTGGTGAAGTAAGGTCAAGTAACCTCCCGCATGCCCGAGGGGGCACGAAGGGCAGTGGATTGAAAGGGAGCTGTAAATTCTTCACGTGAGTGCGTTTACGAGTCAGTGTGCACGTCTCCGTGTGTGTGCACGCACAGCAAGACATTTGACAATCCACTTCTTCACGGGGTCTCTCCACGCAAGTGTGGATTGTGAGGAGCTATTTGACCATACGGTGACCAAGCTGGAGAGGCATGTATTTATAGGTGCGCATGCCTATGTGGGTAGGTTTGTGTTTATAGGAATGGGCCATGAAAGTGTTTTACAGCCACTGCGTGTAAGTTTTAGTTATCCACTATGTATATCACGATTAGGTGTGTGTCTTTTATAAGTGCGTGCATATAATATATAGTACAGTGTATGTGTTCATAGATACTGTATGTCTGTTTTTATTGGCATCTATATTTTATAGCTATTGGTCTTGATATATATGAGCATGTTTTTTACACAGTTATCAGTAACCGTTATACAGGGGACATGATTTAGGCTTGTCACGTTTATTTTGAACGTCTATGTTGAATATGTATGCAATCGTAAGCACACACGTTGTGAGAATTTTAGTGTTATTTTATTTGATTAATTTATTATTTTATTCTCATTCTACGTGACTTTACCGAAAGAACCGAAAGAAGACACACACGTGTTGTATGAGTAAAGTTTAAAGTCGGTGCTTCACTGAACGTATAAAGTGACAGGTTAATTAAAAAAAACAGTCATTAAATCAACGTCACTTCATTTTAATGAGTGGAAAGGTAGACTTTGCTATTTCATTAATATATCTAATTTAATTTGCATGATACACGTTAGATGATACGCGTGTGTGTTTTATTGTCCGGCTATGAATAATTGTGCTCTTGAGATGCACAATGTTGATAGATGTTTATTATAGCCGTGTCAGCGTTCGATATGTTTTGAGCCATGTGCGCCCACGGCTAAATCACCCGAGATCTGCTCACGCGATTTTGCGAAGCTGAGCGGGTATTCAGCCTGGATAGTGCCTGGATGGGTGCTCGCCATGCACAAACAGTTTGTCGTAGGGCTTGCAGGCTGGGCCGTACGTGGTGAGCAGTAGAGGGCAGTGCAGGAAAGCCCGTTGTTGCACAGTACTTCTGTGCTTCTGCGTCTTTGCTCCCCCGCCTTTCACAAACCCGCACAACGTCAGTATGGTCACATCGGCTACGGTAGAAAAATAAAATAACCCACGCGACCTGCACAGGCGTGGGGAGGGCCCTACATCGAGCAGTGGACTGGCAAAGGGCAGTACATGCCAGGGACGTGCCGGTCAGGGGAGGCAGAGCCTCATCTGTCATACTCCAATGAAAATAGCTGTTACGAAAAGTAAAAAAAAATCAAATCAATATTAAGATTTTTCCACTGATCTGTGTTATATAAATGTCACTGCTGTACGATTCCAATCATTTTTATCGTCAAAATCGCCAAATTTGCGGAGCTCCGCTGCAAATACAAGAAGAGACGAGAGGTGAGGCAGCGACGAGCTCAGCCTCCCCTCTGATTGCGCAACCCCTCAGTAACTAGATGGAGAGCGGACAATAAGCGCGTGCCTGTTACTATCTCAGTATGTCACCAATGTAATGTTTGTAGACACCTTCATTTCATGTCCTCGCCTTCCAAACTCCAGGCAACTTATTTCACGTATGTGTATAAAGATATTTAGGCTCGCTGGTCTCGTCATGAAACTACAATGAAAAAGCACCAGGGGAGGCAGCTACCACATCTGCCTCACTGAGGGGGACGTGTCTAACACGCCCCCCTTAGTGAGGACACGCCCCCTGAGTGAGGCTACGCCCCCTCCGTGAGGCCACACCCCCCTCAGTTAGTGAATCTGGCTCTGACACTAGCCAGTGCCTCCCCAGCCATTGACCTCACCGCACGTCACTGGTACATGCACACAAGTACACAACACCGAGGATCGATGGCTACGTTCAATTCCCGCTCACGGTAAAACAACCGTGGCGAATATTTGAACCCGGTCGTCGGCCTTAACCTAGGTCAACTCAGGATTAAGTAAGCATCTGGTGCGGTGTGCAAGCATCAACACAGACGATACAAAGGCGGCCGGCGAGCGGTTTTGGCCATCCAACGCCTCGTGTGCCGTGCCAACCTTAATAGGTGCTCGCAAACAGCACTTGGCCCAACATCCTGTTGTGGCTGTCGCGAACATGTTTGTCTTCGTGTGGTATTTCACACCCCACTCACCGCGTGCCCACCTGTTTAATGAGGCTTTACACCACTATCAGCAGCAGCAGCAGTTACAGCCACTGTCCTCACAGCCCTTTAAATGCAACGAGGCCCCCTTGCGTGCTCGCTTGTTAATAATTATCCCTGGATATTCTGCGGCATCACGGGAGATTTCGCTCTCGTTATGAACTCCCAGTAATCGCCTTCGTTAAAGACCTCGCCTTGCCACCTTTTTTTTTGTGTGCGCGCGGAATGCGGTGGATTTTTCGGGACATCGATGTGCGGACACTTCAGCTCACTGAAGCAATTGCCCAACCAGTGCCAGCGGTTGTCACTTAATTTTTTTTTTACCGCTGCTTGCCGAGCAGGGCATTTTGTATACATCGTAAGGCAACGCTGCAGCCTTAGGGGCGGAGGGTATATTTATATATATTTTAACACATGTACAAATGCGCGCACGCACATACGTATACACGTATTGTAATAAACTGCAGATCACTGTCTAATAATGTATGTTCCATGTGAAGGGGGTATACGTGCATGATTTTGTTGTATACTAACGTATATAAACATTGGTTACACAATGTAGATTAATAGATGAGTAGAGTACGTGGTAATTTATTAGGGGTTTTTCCCCATCACACAAAAAATTATTGACACAGTATCATATACCCTGACATGTTCTCAATTGACGCCTTCTTTCCACGATCTTACTCTCTTGAAAAATAGATTCCATAGGCTCTCATTCGGTTGTTAATCACAATTGTGATGAACACACTCCAGTGCTACATATTGACGCTACTTTACATTGCATTCGCATATACTGCATGTTAAATGCTGAATGTATATACATGCATCTTATCTGGTCTTTTTGGGGTTTCATCCGCAAATAATACAACACGATTGATTTTCACATTGAGTTATGTTTGCGTCTAACATGCGCATTGGGTTGGTGAAGCGGTGGTGCGGTTGTGAGCGCCATTGCGATAAGAGTCCCGCAAGCCGAGTTGGATTCCCGTCCATGACATTACAAGTGAGTGCGATGTGAACTAGTCCTGGCCACCACCTCCTTCAACTCAACCCAGGAATGACCAGCGTGGTGCAATATGGTCAAACAAGCCTCACCATCATCATTCACCAGTGGATTGGCAAAGGGCCATGAATTCGAATTATTATTACGCATTGTATACATGTATTTATACGAATAGTGCATACATGTTGTGCAATCACCATGATGGAATACGTGGGTAATTACGCATATTTACTCCTGCCGGAGCGCGCTGCTTATACAGCAGCACGCGGTGCGTGATGTAAACATGTAGTTTATAACTTACCGGTCTTGTTGAATGTGCCGCGGTGTCTTCTTCCCACGGGTGCGATTGGCGATGGGAGCCGAGTTGTCCGGCAGTCGGGAGTGGCTCGAACACCCAATGCCGGCTAGCCTGCAGCAAGACGATGCCCTCTCCCACGCAAGGATTGAGTCAGCGACGCGCGAGAGGGTGAGCTTGCGAGGAAATTTATAGACAATTAAATTATATCAAATTGAGTGAAAGCTCTCTCCGGTAGCGATAATTGCTGCTGATGTTGTTTTTGTTGTTGTTTAAAGTGCACTTGAGAGGTGCAGAGAGACGCGGAGCATTAACGAGGCGGTGAATAGATGCTCGGGACGGAACACAGAAGAGACTGTGGAAATTTCTACCTTGGGCACTGGTGGCTGGTTGGTTGGTGGTACGCGCGCACGCGTTTCACATTCAAGCTAAAGGCACTCCCACACCTCGCCAGCTCCACTAGTCTCTCTCCCTCTCTCGCCTCTCTGCTGCTCATAACCCAAAGGCAGGAGACAGGGCGGGAGGGGAAGGGAGAGGGCACTTTAGCGCAGCCCAGCGGCTTACGTCACGCCCCGGGACGGCACGAAAAAAAAACCAACGGATAGGGGAGAGGCTGGTGAGGAGCGGGATTTTTTTTGTGGCTGCAGTTTTCATTGTGCACTGCAGCACCTCCTCCTGCTTCTTCTTCTTCTTCCCTCCCCTCCCCGCATGTTCACCGAGCATAGACAACAACCAAAAAAAATCCCCGCATTATTAGAGGAGATTTCGGAGCGGTTGCTGCCAGGGCAAATGCCACCGCACTCCGCTGGGCGGTAGCCCAGAGGCGTGGGCGAGCGTCGCGATCAAAATCCACGGGGAGGCGGCGAGGAATTAATACGAATCCAGTGTGGATTTGATTTAATCAGGTGAGGGTGCGAGAGTTCTTTGAGATACAAGGATTATTTTTGTTGGTGCTTGGGAGACTTGATTAACTGTATTTACTATATTCTTGGTAATGGCACCACACATTTCAGATTGGTTGGTGAGAATGAAACAGACATGTCTCCAAACTCGCTTGCTCGGTGAAGGGCATACATACCGAGCAAAGCTACAGGCGAAGCCTCTTAAGATTAATTAATTATATCCATGCGTGGCACACACGATGTAGCGTTAAATCTCATCACTGTAGAATTGCATATACTGTACACTTGGATGCACAGCGCTGATGAATCTCATTTAAACAATTAACGAGCAGGGTGCGCTTACATTTAGATGGTGCAGCGGCCTTCAAACGAGAGGCGCGTGACGGACGCAAACAGTACAGCTCGTTAATATAATTACCCACAAAAGTGCGCTTACATTAATTACTTTTCGTCACGCGGCTATGGCTGCTTATCAACATATCTGTTGCCTTGTTCTCTCCAATCAAATCAACTGGCTTGATCGACTTTGGCAAGTGCGAAAACAGTCGGCCAACAAACCTGGCAAGGATGGAGGTCTTCCCCTCCCGTTAATAGTCTCGGTTCACGTGTGTGCGCGCATCCTAATTGAGGGGTGCGCTCTGCCTGCTTAGCCCGCACCCCCACCCCTCTCCCCAAACTCATCACACAGCCCAGTGCCCCGACCAACAACAAAAAAAATTCGCAGCCGTAACGTGTGACGCCAACGGGGATGTTTGGTGGCAATTTGTTTCCACATTAAAGCCCCTTTTCTCAAGTGCTGTGGTCGGAAAGGGTTGAGCAAAAGGGAAGTTAATTGCAATTTCCCGCAGCACGAGCAGACGTGTAAAATGAGTCTTGACACGTGGATTGGACCACATATTTGTGAGTGTCTGTATGACGTGGGGACATCGAGTTCTGTTCCTTTTGCCTTATTCAGGGCAATGGGAAAAGCCAACTTGCCTCGTTTAAGCCAGTTGGGGACAACCAACCTGCAGTCTACAAGTACCACGAACAAACTCCACAAATTCGTCAATAACACCCACCTCAAAAGAACAGGTACAGAATGTGTATCACGTATATGTAAATGTTCATCAGGAAACGGTTTAATATATCATTCTCATCATGCTCCGCGGTGTAAAATTCAGTCTCCAATTATTATCCACCCTATCTCTCTGGCCTCTCTATATTTGTGCTCTGAAGAAGGACCATTGCCAGACATGTCGCCTACTCTATACTTTTGTTTAAGGCCACAAAGTTATCGACGAATGTTTTAAGTTTTTGTTTTGTTATTTGTGCTTGTGCACCACAGTCAACGAAGCAGCATATACAAGATGTGTAATTTCGATTTAAAGCTTTCGTGACTGCAAGGATTCATCTTCTTTGGTTCTTTCGGTAAAGTCACGTAGAATGAGAATAAAATAATAAATTGATAATATAAAATAACACAATACAATTCTCACGACGTTTCGGCCACAACACAAGCGGCCTTCATCAGGTGAAGGGACGAGACTGTCTGGAGGACAGCGACGTATTAGCGGTTTCTCCTGCGTCTGTCCTCCAGACAGTCTCGTCCCTTCACCTGATGAAGGCCGCTTGTGTTGTGGCCGAAACGTCGTGAGAATTTTATTGTGTTATTTTATTTTATCAATCTATTATTTTATTCTCATTCTACGTGACTTTACCGAAAGAACCAAAGAAGAAGATGTGTAATATACAAGATGTGTAACATACAAGATGTGTAATATACAAGATGTGTAATATACAATGTGTAATATACAATGTGTAATATACAATGTGTAATATACAAGATGTGTAATATACAAGGGGCTGGGAAGTTTCCATGAGTCAATTGTGCTTCCTTTCTAATGGTTATTTTGGGGCCATCTTCTTCATAAAACTCACTCTGTCACCAAGCATCAACGATCACTTTGAGTGTGTTATGTTTTCGCGGCTGTGTTGGACAACTTTCCGACGTTTTTGCGGTTCCTCCTGCGTCTGCTTTCAACGCAATGTCTGACGTTTAACTCCATTTGCTGTAGCTTCTGTGCGCAACTAAAGAAGCTCCCAGCACATTATTCCAAAAAACAGCGGTTAATCCCGACAACACATCATGGAGCTATGAATTAATACTATTATGACCGAACACGGTTATTAATTTATATATTTAGGTTAAAATATCATGAATCAATTTCTGTAGTTAAACACTTTTACGTAAGGACATTCTAGATTTACGTAAGGACAGTTAATTGGCAATGTAATTGTCGGTAATATATAAAAAAATAGATCTGCGCCATCAAACTGAAACAGACACGCTGGCTTCCTTTCTGTTTTGCAAAACGGGAGGTCATGTGGTTTTTAACATTCACTCTTTACAGCAGGCAGTGCGCGCTTTGGCAATTCCCTACAGAAATTTACCGCGCCGCTATGGAAACGAAACCATTCGCATCGGCGTAAACTGGCTCAGCTGGGAGAACACTGACCACCGTAGGGTTATCCAGCCGCAAGCCAATTGAGACCCTCTCTCCTGTTTTTAAAATTAATCCCCATTCCCACAGCAACTTCCCCACTCACGGGGATTTGTGGACACTCCACACCGGCGGAAGGGCAAAATTTGACCCAAAGTCTCACAGGGGTGGAGAGGAAGACGGAGGAATTAGCTGCGATGGGCAACACTAAACTATATATATAAATAAAGCATCGTGTAATGGGGGCATACACACATGTGATTATTTAGCGTTGCAGACCCGAGCACTTTGTGTGTCATCAATTTGAGATCACGCAGAACGCTTTCTCTTGATGCAAATGAGTGTGCGACAGTGAGGCGATAACTCGATTTGCAGACGTTATTTCGAAATTGAGGACGAATAAAATACCCGCATATAAAGTAAGCTTGTAGATTATAATCACTCAGCACAATTTTTGTATTGCCTGGAAATTAGAATCTGTTTTTTTTTGCCAAGGAGGTGGTCGTGTGACTCAGCTGGCTGATGCAATTGGCTGATGCAATGCCTGTGATAAGAACATTGAGCCAGTACCACTGGGTTAATATGCTCCCGCCTGATCAAAATTCATGTTCACAAGTGCAGTGAGTTTGAAAGTCTTAACCCAAACACCCCGTGTGCTTGCATTTGTACAAAAAGGTACAACCCTGCAATTGCTTGCCCATGCCACTTGCTGAGAGAAGGGCGTCCACGAGGAGTTCGAGAGAGCCTCTGTAGAGGGTAATTGGCCTACTCTTTCACGCTGGCCAGACATCTTTGAAGAGGTGGGAGTACAAACACTTTAACCCACGACACGCAACCTAACAACAAACGGTGGCGTAACCAAATTTTGATTTAAAGCTTTCGTGACTGCAGTAATTCATATTCTTAGTTTTTTCGGTAAAGTCACGTTGAAGAGAAACAACAAAATAATAAAATATATATAAAACAATAAAAAATTCTCACGACGTTTCGACCATATGATGACCTCTGAATTGAAAATGATGAAGACGACCGTTTGAGTTATGGTCGAAACGTCGTGAGAATTTTTTTATTGTTTTATATATATTATTATTTTGTTGTTTCTCTTCAACGTGACTTTACCGAAAAAACTAAGAATATGTGGCGTAACCATTTATGCCGCTGGGTAGACAAAAGTGGTAAAAAAAATATATAAACTTGACTCTGGTTTTAATTTCCGCAACGTGAAATTGAAACGATGACCTCTGAATTGAAAATGAAAATGTGCTACGCATTATACCACGACAGCATCCATGGTTGGTTTACGTACGCTGCGAAATAAGTTAAACATACACACAAAAAGCTAAGTAAAAATCTAAACGGGCATTTGTGAGCACTTAGCACCAGAATTTCCCCCCCCCCCCCCCCCAAAGAGGCCGCCAATAAATATTGTTTGTTCTCACCATCTAGCCTGAGGCGGCTGGTTGGAGGAGTTGGTGTGGTCTAGACCCTGACAATTATTATTACTCCTACTACACTTTACCCGGGAAAGCCTCACTGAGTTTCAAGTCTGTTTTTCAGGAGGTTCCTGACAAGTATATCTGGGAAAGGGATGATGTTGTGCATAATTGAAATTGAGTAATTTTTCAGTATTGGGATATTTTGGCCATTTCCGGTTATATCGTATGTTTTTTTAAAGCAATACACGTTGAACTTCTTTCGCACCGTACGTAGCCAACCGTACTAATCGCAGATGTGAGGAAGGACAACAAACTATGGGAGGAAACCAACGCATCCCTAGGAAACCTATGCATAACAGGGGCAGAATATACAAACTCCACACAGCAAGGCATCCAAGTCAGGAATCAAACCCAGGCACTTCTTGCTGTGAAGGCACGAGTGTTACTACTACGCCATCCTGCCCATCATGGCAAGAAAGTGCTGACGTAAGCTGGAAAGTGAGCGTGGCCAGGATGCTTCTGGTGTGATTAGTTTGTGTTTATCGCCATGTCCCTGCTATCACGCAGTGATGGGGAAAATGTCACGAAGCACCGCCAATTTCACTCTGGCAGGGAGAATGCAGCTGTGGTATAAAACCAAAATCCTGCTAGAGATGGGGTCTTGCCTATCTCTCACCACGCTGGCACATACCATCAATGCACACGTACACCTTCAAAGA